TCAATTTGCTGGTGATTTAATAATTCATCCTGACATGCATGTCGTGTATGTTGTCACAAAAACCTTTCTAGTCATCTTAGTAAAAGTGTTCGTCTCGATTAATTAATGAGAACCAATCGGCATTTGTGAAAGACGGAGGAATTGGTGATAATACATTCTTGTGATAGGAAAGAATATTATATCATGTCTTCTTAATGAGACTGTGAATTAATAGTGGCCTGATTTGTAACTGTTGGTTTTTGGAAGCTTTGGCTTACGCCTCCCACACAATGAAAAAAAGGTTCAAAGATCTATTGTATCATTCTCAACGCCACAAGCTTTAAGTTACATATTTATGTTTTGCGGGTGATCTCGTTAGTTTCTCTACAAGTTATGTTTATGCAGTAGAGACTAGGGGTGTTCAATGGTTACCATGGTAACCGTTTTAACAGTACTATTTGGATAATTTGGTTTGGTTAATTTGGATAATTGGTTTGTTTGGTTAAAGTTTCTACCTTGTTTGGTTTAGGTGGTTTGGTTTGGTTTCAGACACTCCTAACCAGCCAAACCAAATTAACCAGGTAAATAATTGGCCATATATCTTATATATACACATACTTAATACTTTGAATAACCACTCAAGAGTTAAACGTTCATTCTTTTACACTCATAAAATATAAAGCTTGATATTATTCATATAATGTATATTTGTATATGTAGAGTAGACCACAACATATGAACGCCTAATTTAGATAAATCTTATACATTATGCTGGATGAAAACTTGAAAGCAAGGTCCTTTTCAGCCTATGAAAATTGCTAAAAGACTAAGTCAATTCAAACAAACACAACAATTCATTAACCCATACTATTGTGATAAATTTTTGTTAGGTGAATACTTCTATGCTAACCGTAAGATAATTGTCTTAGTTGCATGTATTTAAGTTAAGGGTCAATTATAACTATGTGTTGATTGATATGTTTTATTGATTATATAAATTGTGAATTGATAAATTAATCGAAAATTTTCTCACTTAATGATAATATGATTTTATATTGGCTAATCTGGTTAACCAATTAACCAAACCGATTAAACTTTAGTTTGGTTAATTTGGTTGTTGTATTAGTTTGGACGGTTTGGTTATGATATTGTATTCCATGGTTAATGAAATTTAGCCTTATTTGGTTTGGTAATAACCATGGTAGCCATTTGAACACCCCTAGTAGAGACTACATATAGAGTCATATAGTGCTTCTATGAGCTTTATGGCCTTCATTATAATCCTGCCAAGAGTGTAGTTTATTCATCGGATGAAATTAGGGATGGCAACAATTCGGGTGGAGAAGATTTTCCTCTCTACCATTGTTGAACTATGGTTTTAAAACCGTGACTATCTTTAAAAAAAAATAAGCGGAGATGTAAAAGCACTGATGGCATACTAATGCCTAGCCGTGTGTGGTTTGGAGAATGAAGAAGAATTTTGTATAAGAGATACTTACAATACTACAGGGATGTAGATGACCGAAATGTTGAAGCTAATGAGCCTATATATATCATAGTTGTAGCACATACTTGAGTGAGTTCAGTGGGTGGGAGTACTTAAATGCTAAACCCGCACCAAATCCATTATCCTCTTTATTGAGTTCGAAAAGAATCTACCCAAAAACAATATCAATCGTCTTTTCCCGTTCAAATCAATTCGGATTCAGTTGGAGATCCTCATTAATGAATTATTTTGTCATACACCTTACTAGATGAAATGCTTCACAATGCTAGGTTATTACTACTTCCTCGGAAATCCGGCTAATTAAAGCCGGTAATCGACGACGTGAACGAGCCAGACCTTTTTCCATCAGATTCTCTCCGACCATCAAGGCCAGGTCGTTCAACAAGTGGTTTCTCAACACTGATTGCCTCTGAATCGAGAACTTGGAAATTTCAAACAACCCACCACACAAATAATGAACGAGTCAAGTCTCAACTCTCAAGGTTTATGTTCCGCTGGACGGATGACGGCAACACCCATGTTCCTGAGAACTGAAAAAATTGGAACTTAGGCTTTCCAATGCAGAGCAGATGCCGACAAAGACAGTGACGAACGGCAATGTAGAGAGAGGGAGATGCTGGGGGATTTGGATTTCGGGTTGAGAGTGGCCGAATTGCAAGTGGGAGATGAGGTAGATTTCTTTTTATGGAGCTTTCCAAGGTAGATCCAAATGCCAACAAAGACTGTGTTGACTGGCAAAGTAGAGAGAGGACCGATGGTGGGGGGGGTTTAAATTTCAGATTGATTGTGGCCGAACAGAAGGTGGGAGATGAGGAGAGTTTCGATGAGCAGAGAGGTTCGGATTTGTGAGTGGCAAAAAGGAGGGTGGGTGATTCCGATTTCAAATTGCGGTTGTGAAGCATCGTCGATTTAGATTTTCGATTGAGGTTTGGGCGAGACCACCGACGGAACTGATATTCAGTTTCCAGTAGAAGACCGGAAAAAACAGGGGGCAGATTTTTTTGGACACCGCCAATGGCAATGCGCAAAAGTTTCTCTTCCCGCCCACTAGCCAAGTGTGAGCCACCTAACATCAAGGAGCCTGTGTGATCCAGCAACTCACTTAATTCCCAAAGATGCATATGCTGTGAGCTACCTAAAGAGCTTACCTTCTCCTCTATAAATGACAAGAGCAAAAAAAATCCAATCACAGCAAACTCCACTTTCCAGTACTTGTGAACTGCTCTTTTCCTTTCTTTTCTTTTTCTTTTCTTCTTGTCATGTGCATTTTCTTTTTTGCCTTTTGGTTTCAATACAATCATCACCACTATATAAAAAAACTTACCGAAAGGAAAAAAAATGACAATGCCAATGTCAAATGTTTACAATTCGTTAGCATTTGACTTTTTATGTATTGGCTCTCCAGTGGCCTTCAACCTTATGCATGGCGGAACCACCATGCTCCCTCCCCATTCCACGATATTTCGCAATTCACGGCTTGTGGGCAACCAACGCGAATGGTTCCGAGATTTCACGTACAGAAACACCTTCCCCTATGATCTCGTGTATTAATCTAGTGGTATATTTCGTATTTCTTCTTCTTCTTCTTCTTCTTTTTTTTATGGTTTCTTATTCTTCTTTCATGTTGATAACATATCCTTATTTTTTGCTTGGAGCAATAGGCGAGATTGTCTTGGGGAACGTATGACAACCTTCAAAGGACGTGGCCCAGCTGCGAATCACAAACGACCAATACCCTCACCCCTGAAATCTGGACCTACGAGTGGAACAAACATGGAAGGTACTCAGGGGAAACCATGGAGATGTACTTCTACTTCGCAAATATGCTAACACGATTTATCGAAGTGGGAAAAAGACTTGTAGATGGTTCCATCACTCCCGGGCAAGGGTATAGGCCAACAGATATCCAATATGCTTACCTCACGTAGAAATAGGATACCTTACCATCTATTACCTGCGGGAGATCCGCTACTGCGTCGACCTCAATATGAAAATTATTTTGTGGAGGAAAGTTTTCTATTGTGCTATTTTATACATTGTAGTTGCAAACCATAATCTTAATGTTAAAATGTTATGATTTTACGATCTTATATATTGGCTTTAATCCTCATTTTATTACTAAATCCTTGAAACTTAAAATTTCATAAAATCTCAATTTAAAACTTTAAAATCCTTAAAATACATGATTTATTTGATTTTGTACGATTTCAAAGTTCATGTTAATTGGTTCGTTAACTAACTCGTTTACTAATGAGCCGAGCTTGAGCTAGATCCAGCACAGCGAGCTTGAGTTCAAGTCGAAACACCTTCAACCCAGGCATCTGAACCCAATCAACAACAGTTCCTCTAGCCTTTGATAAGAACTCTATCAAGGTCTCCCTCTGCATTGGAGAGCAGTCTAAAAACACAGTCACAACTTCCATCAGTTGGTGTCGACCCTTACACAAGCATACATTCAAAGATAACAAGAATCTAATTGAGGATCCTAAATGACGTCGTCGAGAAGCTTTACATAGTCATTCTTCGAATCACTCCGACTTTCCTCAAGCTTGTGTTCCATGATTGTTTCATCTAGATAAATTGGAACCATGATGGTTCATCATACCCAAAAATCCAATTTAGCAAAGTCCATCATGAAATCTAGCAAAACAAACAATTATTTTTATACATCTAAACTTATAATAGACCAACTCCACCATAAATCCATGGTTTTACAAAATCCAAAAAAAAAATATATCCAAAATTTTCACGTTTCAAATCATGAAGCAAATGATCCATTAGAGTATGAAGTTCATGTTATTAAAGCCGAGCCGAGCCGCTCGGCCCGACCGGTAAAACCGCCACCCGGTCACGAAACCGGCTTGGAACAGTCTAAAAGCCGCTCCGGTTTTATGTAGCGGTTGGCGAGCGGCCGAGGCGGTTAACCGTTCGAGCCGCTCGTCCGGTTTTTGTCATTCAACCACTAAATTTAATTAAAAAAATTGTAGAAAATTGAAAATTGAAATAAACCAAAAACGTTGGGCTCTCAAATTGAATCCTTATTTCCATTTCACAATTTCGAAGGAAAGAGATGTGCTTTGATTAAGAAATGTCCACTATTTATACTAATAACATTTATTAAATGTCGGTTCTCTAACGGTTTTTAAACGGTCTAATGTCGATTGGACCGCTAAAGTACGAGCCGTTCGCATTACCGGGTCATGCTCCAATTCGGTTCTGACAACATCTATAAACCCAAGATATTGTAGCCTTAAAACAAAAGTTTGTTCTCACTTTGCACCAACTCAAAATCATTGAGGGCTCGTTTGGATTAGTTATTTGGGGAAGAGTTTTGACAGAAGGCAAAATACATCTGGATAGCCAAAATTTTGCACTTTGTGACAATAATATCCAATTTTTGAAAAATACACTAAAATAGCCTTTCCGCTTTCCGTCCATAAGTTTAACGACATGTACTAAACTAACGACCTTTGATGACGTGGCTACTTTTCTTCGTGACTTTGCCCTGTTGGATATTCTAATTTTTATTTTATTGTAATTCACTAGAAAAAAAACAAAAAAAAAACAAAATAAATAATATGCAAAGAGACATTCCCTTCATCCCTTCATTCCCCAGCGTCGCTCTAACTTCCTTCTTCCATCCCCTCCCTAGTCCTTTCCCGACCGCCATTGCATCCTTATCTTCGTAGTCAAAAGCACAAATCCATCATCTCTTGTTCTCCGTTCATACACTCCCGCATCAATGGATTCATCCCTCCTCCGACACGAATACGTCGTTGCTCCAGCGTGACCAGTGGTGGCAGCGCCAGCTCTGCCTCAAAACCAATCAACCGCCTCCGTTGTCTCCATGCCTATCCAGTCCATAAAATCAATTGCCTTTGTCGCCCTCTCCGATACCCCTCACCGCCGCCAGATCAAGATTTCGCTGCTTCCAATTCCACTGCCAGATCCCTCACCACTGCCTTCAGCTCCGCCTTAGATCTGAGCGACTTCCACCCGACTCCGAGACAAATCTCACAACAAAAATGCCAACAAGGCCACAAGGGTCTGCCACCTGGGTACTCCTTCTCAAAGCCCACAAGGGCGCCGATTGTTTAACAACCATTGATTCCGCAATGGTCTCCGAGGAACTCTCTATTTCTTTCTCCTCTGCCTTCTTTTGTATTGGGATGAATTAGGGTGATAAAGAAAGGAAATGGGTTCGGTCGATATGCTTGAACATGAGGAAAAATTAGTTGTCCCATTAGTAGTTGGAGAGCAAAAGAATCACGAGATTGGGGGAAAGGCTTGTAAAGCTCTATGAAATTAGGGTATCTTCAGGAAAGGGGGATTTTTTTTGCTGCAGGCGGTGGTAGGGGTAAATCATTTATAAATTTTTTATTAAAATAAATTAATATTTTTATTTAATTAAAATCTGACGTAGCGTCCATGGGTGTGTCATATTAGGGTGTGTCATATTAGAGTTTACGTGTGAGCTGACGTGGCATCCACCTCAACGTAATGTTTACGTTATTGACAAAGTCATTGACGGTGTTAAAGTTTTTAATGGAAATTGCTAAATTTGTCAAACTAGTTTTCAAAATGTGGCTATATTTGTGTATTTTTCAAAAAGTGGCTATATTTGTCAAAAGCGTTAAAGTTATGGCTATACAAATGTATTTTGCCTTAACGGAATTATACATTTGGCAAGACGAGAGAATGTAAGAGATTTCAAAATCTCTCATGTCAAGATTTCTGAAATAACTGATGCGCCGATAATGTAAGAGATTTCAAAATCTCTTGTGTCAAGATTTCTGAAATAACTGATTTTAAAGTTCATTTATTTTTGTTCTTCACAGACAAAAGCCTCTCTTTAGAGATAGATCAGACCTTGATCGTGAAATTTGTGATGGAGTCAGAAGTTGAATTTATTTTTTCAGAATATAAATTATTACAATGGTAGATTTTTTTCAATATAATGAATCAATGTCATTATAACCAAAAAATCAAGAAATAAGCTTTAATGTACTAAGAAAATGCCTATTTTTACCAAAATGTACATGTGTCATTTATTGACTATGCCTATGATTTCGACCCAAATAATACACTTGGTACGTTTAGCATTTCGAAGGACTGCACACCAGAGCTGCACTAACATTTCGTTTTAGCCAACCACGACATGGATCACGGTATCTAAATGTTGACATTGCTGCTGAAGGGATGCGACTCCTCCATAATACATTAGGGTCCTTGATTTATTGAAGGTAACAACAAATTAAAGACGGAAATATAAAGCGGGAACAGCTTGTACTGTATCCACTTAGATTGTCATCTGGTTACCAAAACAGATCACAAACTTGACTCAATTACCTCTGCAAACATACAAAAAGCATAAATTAGCTAAAAAAATTATTACGAGCAAGCTTATCGCGAGTTCGTCAGCCAACGAGTAACAGTGAAACCAGTGTGACCAGAAATTTCATCCCAAGGGATCCCGGTTCTAGGCGAGTGGCCTGAGTTTCGACTTCTACAACGATGAGATAGAGCGAGGAGCATAAACTAGACCGTGTATACATATCAATCACTCACGTACCACGTATCAGGTTTTATTTCCATTATCCACGGCATCAGCTTGATGAACTCCCAGCACAGCTCTGCCAGAAGGATCAAGATTGCTTGACCAGGAAGCATCCCATTCCACAGCTTTGGCTGTGCTGCATGCCACACTTGCTCCTTCAGGAACGGTCACACTGGCTGAATTCTGTATATTCAATCCATAGAAAGTACCCAAATTAGCTTCTGGAAGGCTCAAGCTACATTCATTCTATAGTTTTAAGTTCTAATGTCTTGTTCACCTGCGGGAAATATTTGTCAAAGATCATTCTGTAGTAGTAAGCTTCTTTGGAGCTAGGGGTGTTGTGCGGGAAGATATGAGCAGCATTTTGCATCATTTTATCGCTCACCTAATAGGGGTTTCATGCAGAAGCAACAAATCAGAAGTTATACTAAATTCAATGGAAAAGAAGAGGCAGTTGAAGTAGTAAGGCTGAGATTGATATGCATACTGCATACATGTTCGGCAGCATGAGCTTTGAGGCCATCAATCCAGCTATATCCGACACCATCACTGAACTGCTCTTTCTGCCTATACAAGATATGCTGTGGAAAGGAAAGCCAAGCATGATCATTTTAAACTTCTACCTCAGTTGTTGATATGAATTGACGGCACAGAATCTGGCAATAGAATCAACCTTAGGTAGATAAGGGCGTTCTTCATCATCAAAAGCTTTCCGGAGAATCCATTTTTCTATCCTTCCTTCCTCTGGCTTAATCTGGAACCAAGTACACATGAAAACTTAGTAAAATAAAGGCAAAATACAGTTGTGTAGCCAAAATTTTGACGATTTGGCCAAATATAGCCATTTTTGGCGAAATACCAAAAATAGCCACTTCCGTTCAATTCTTTGACGGTGTTAGTTAACGTGCTGACTGGACTAACAGAAGGACCGACGTGGCGACATTAATTTGACACATGGATTTAATTGATAAAAAAAACAAAAACAAATTTGAAAAAAAGAGTTTTCCACTTGATAAAAAATGGTCCCTTCTCCCTATAATAAAAAATGGTCCTTATCATTCTGCCTTTCTCCCTTCCCTCCCCCACTTCCTTCCGACTCTACCACCTCCTGGCTCCTCCTCTACCTTCCCCCGAATTCTTTCCGTTCATCCTTGAGCAACCGGAAAGGAGATTTACTCCTAGCTCTGTGAGCTCATTTGCTTTGCGTATCAGGGGATAAAAAATTAGAATTATCCCCTAATATTGTCGATGGTTCATATCTGTTTCCACCGATGGCAAGCCGACAACCCCTGCTGAAAGATCGACGATTTGGAGAAGACCGACGATCACGCCCTTCCCTCAATGGCGAAGACCGATGATCTGGGCGAAGATCCGCGGCGGATAGATCTGACGAACGGAGAGATCTGGGCGACGATTGCTTCGGGCGGCGGAGAGATCTGACGAACAGAGAGATATGGGCGACGATTGTTGAGAGATCGGGAGGCGGAGAGAACTGGACGATGACTACGGAGAGATCGGGCGGCAGAGAAATGTGACGAACACATGCATCTCACCCAATCGGATTGGCCGTCTCCATCCTGGATGGGTATACTTGCACCGTCCTAGGAACCGAGACTCCGACTGCGATATCCTAAAGTCGGAGCTCACCGTCCCAGGAACTGGAGAGAGCGAAATGGCCGTCAGAGGAGAGGACGACGTCCTGGACGAAATGGGAGTGGCCAATGAGGTGGCGGCGGGGGACACCATAGGTCTTGTAGTCCTGGTCGGTGTGGGCACGACGGCGGATTGAGGTTGCTCTCGACGGGGCTAGGGTTTGTGAATTGGGGATAAAAAAAACAAAAGAGGGCCAGAGGGGATGAAGGTGGGAATAGGGGGAAATTAGAAAAAAAAAACTTTATTTTTTTTAGTTTCAAAATTAATAATTTTATAAAGTAGAATGATGTGGAAATTATATTGATGATTTGTTGCTGACGTGTGCGATGATTTGGCGTCCTAGTCAGCCTAACGTTAAACTAACTGACGGAGTCTATAACACCGTTAAAGTTTGTAACGGAAATGGCTATATTTGGCACAAAAGTTTCAAAATCCTGGCTATAAGTGGTATATCGTCAAAAGTGGCTATAAGTGGCACAAACGCGAAAGTTTTGGCTATACAAATGTATTTTGCCTAAAATAAATGACGAGTCTAAAAAGACAGAACCAACGCCCAAGCTTAGGCATATTTATACGTACCATCTTCCACTGAGGGTCGATAGCCATGGCAACGTCGATGAATTCTTTATCCAAGAACGGAACTCGTACTTCCAACCCCCAAGCAGATGTGGCCTTGTTGGCTCTCAAACAATCATACTGATGAAGTGCTTTGATCTTGCGACACGTCTCACGGTGGAACTCCTCCTTATTAGGTGCTTTGTGGAAGTAGAGATATCCACCAAACACCTCATCAGAGCCTTCACCAGATATGACCATCTTCACACCCATAGCCTTGATCCTCCGGGCCATCAGGAACATAGGTGTGCTTGCCCTAATGGTGGTGACATCAAACGTCTCGATGTGATAGATCACATCTTCAATCGCGTCGATCCCATCTTGAACCGTGAAGGTGGATTCATGGTGGATGGTTCCTAGATAGTCTGCAACTTCTCTTGCAGCCTTCAAGTCAGAAGACCCCTGCCAAATAAACAAGTGAAGAAAGCTGAGGTATCCTTAGGCACCAATGCATGTGAAATAGATGTTTCATAAGAGATTAATGCATTCTACATATGGATTCGTAAACGTATTCTTTGGGTAATACATCTTGTCATGTATTCCAGGAAATATATTCTTCTTTGCATCAGATCCAGACAAGAAAAAATGACGAATTCTCAAAAACCAAGTATTCCTAAACCACAGGGAACGATCCTGCTCACCGAAGGACTAGCCAAATTCAAGAATCAAAGCTGGAACATTTGAAAATTTCACCTCAATGCCAACACAGAAGGAATGAAGCTGGGAACCCCATTGATTGGCAGCTCGAGTTCCCCCCAGGTGCCTAGCGGTGATGGAAGCAACCAGAGAGGAATCCAGTCCACCAGAGAGCAAAACACCGAAAGGAACATCAGTCATCAATCTTTTGATCACAGCCTGCGTCATAAACCAAGAACAATAAGCACCATCTTCCTTCATCTCCCATTCTCCCTCACCACAACAAAATTAACAATCAGTTATTGTCACCTTCTCAAAAGCGCTTCGGACAGCGATTGGGTCGTAGGGCGAGGAAGGAACAGCCTCAGAGAACCATAGTGGATTATACCATCGCCTCAATCCACCGGATTTGCTGGAGTATAAATGGCCGGGAGGGAAGTACTCGAAATTCTCACAATCATCCTTCAAACCTTTGAGTCAGAAGAAACCCAAATAGAGCCTGAACAAAGATATCAATCTCTATGTCACGTAACAGTTTATCCCGTGTCCTTCCAGTCCGAATTTGGCCGACAACCATTCATGCGTATGAAAAGAAAAAAGATTGAAACACCTTACCGTCGAGTCCCCAGCCGATGTACAGAGAGGTGATGCCAATGGCGTCCCGAGCAACGACGAAGCTATTGTCGCGAGTGTCCAACAGCACGAACGAGAACATTCCGTCCAACAAGTCCACGAAATCTTCCCCATATTCCTCGAACTGCAACAATCGCAGAGAACAAGCTAAATCATTGTCAAGCAAAAACAATCACCCAACTGAAAATGCGATGGATCAAAGTATGAAACAGAGTTCAGCTAGCCAAATTCACCGAGAAAGGGACGGAGGAGCAACCAGATGAGCGATGACTTCACAGTCGCTGTCGGTCCGGAACTTGTGATTGGGCAAGCGCTTCCGCAGCTCCTCGTGGTTGTATATTTCTCCATTCACCTGTAAAATGATTCAATTCCCGGTCAAGGTTTAATCAACCGGCGGCGAAACGGAGAGGGGACGGAAGGAAATAGGACGGTACGGTGACGACGATGTTCTTGTCCTCGTTGAAGAGAGGCTGGTCGCCGGAAGCAGGGTCGATGATGGCCAACCTTTGATGGGCCAAATAACAGTCTCCGTGCTGGTACAGCCCGCTCCAGTCCGGCCCACGGTGCTTCAGCCTGTTTAATTAATTTCCACAAAAAGATTTCCCGACGATCATAAATTTAATTAATTAACGGTCTTGATGCTTCTATAAGTGGTCAGTGGGGATGAGATTAGGTGCTAACCCTTATAGGGGTTAGCACCGTGATAACTAGCAAAAAACGCTACTAAATATAACGAAATCACTACGGATTATTATAAAATCAATACAACATCTCAGCTAAATCACTACTAATTCAAACTAGTAATAGTTTTTCCCTTGGTTAGGACGGTGTTAACTATTGTACAATTAGCACCGTAACTCCTCCCTCAGTGGGGGTGATAAACAGTTACGCCGGTTTAACCGCTAACTGACAATTAATGGTTAAAATGTCCTCTGCTAGGGAGAATGCGGGTCTTTTACAGAAGCTCAGATCCTCTTATCGAGTTACCAAATCATAAGTGATTAATAACAGACAGTTAGCAATTAACCGATTAGTCATTGATACGAGTTACTAATCACTCAAAATAGGCTATCCGCCACACTCATTTGAAGGAAGAAACTCCCTCGACCATTTTGCACGCACTTACTCCAATCTCCTTGTCTTCTTAGCTCGCTCCAATCTCCTTGTCTTCTTAACTCAAATGAAGAATGAAGCGACTATGGACGGCTTCGATGTTGTCGCCGCCGTAAGCCCTCTTTTATTTTACGTGGACGGGAAAATGAGAAAAAAGGTGGAGACTAGGCTAGGGTCGATTGTTCGAGGGTGAAGGAGAATAAGGTGTATTCTTCCTTCCATTGGTTCACAGAGAGAGTGAGTTTGTTTTTTTATTTGCGGAGGAAAAAAGAGAGGCGAGAAGACGAAATTGAAGAAAAGAAGGAAGTGTGCTGCTAGTGTTTCTTAATTCTTATATCTATCATACCGGATCAAATCAGGTCCTTAAGGCCTAATTCTTAAGGAAGATCTTAAACCATCTCCAGCCAATAGGAGAAGGGGAGAGAAAAACATTAGTAATAATTAGTTAACTACCTAAAAGAGTAAGACTGGAATATAATAAAAATTTAATGTGATTAATAATTAAAAAGGAAAACAGTAGAAACCATGTTTGCGATACCACACTATTGATTTGAAAATTCATATCGGAAAAATCGGCCTCCTCCGAACCCTAAAACGACTGCAAACCAGTCGCCGGCTAGCCATCGCGTTCTAGGTGCAATCCCGACCTGGAGCCACTACATCACGGCTGGGTCACGTCGTCGTCAAGTCACGGCTGCGTCAGTTTAATAATGTAGCTTAATATTATTGAAAACAGTATTTTTGTTAAAATGCAGAAAGTGGAACAATGTTAATAATGTAGCTTGACGGTGCATATCTTGCGGAGCTGGCGCCAGTAGTCGCTGTAGGGGGCGAACACGATGTCGGTGCAGCCGTAGGCGAGGATGTCGGCGGAGTGGGCGGGAGGCTTCGGGAGAAGTTGACGTGGTGGGTCTTCAAGAAGGCCTCCGCAGCTCCGGCTGATCCAGCGAAGCAGCCGGCGTAGCAGGAATGGAGAAGAGGATGTCCATAAGGCCTGCCAGCGTCCAGCGAAGCAGCCAGCGTAGCAGGAGCGGGGGAAGAGGAGGTCCTTGCAGAAATCGGGAGCGTCAACGTCGGACGGAGAGACTTACTGTCGTGATCGGGAAGGGAGGAACAAAAGACGGAATTTCAATACTAATTAGGGTTGGGTAAATTGGCCAACATGTGGGTAAACTCCTTATTAGGGTTAATTATTATAATTTCAATATTAATTACAATCCCCTAAATACCTTTATTAACTAATT